TAAGGGAAGTGCTAGAAACATGTCAGAGAAATTTCTGTACAAAGTGTCAAAGGCCCCCCCCCCCCCCCCCCCTTGCCTAGAATTCAGTGTGTTTACTTAAGTTACAATAGCAGAGAGTGAATCCAGGAGTGATTGACAGTGGGATACAGTGCTACAGGTCCAACATCAGCCACTAAAGGACAAACCCAAGCATGTGATGATCCCACCACAAGGGAAAGAGACACTTGAAGCTTCCTGACCTGCTTGCTTCTGCAGTTTGCCCAATATTATCTCCTCCCTCATTACCGACTGAATTCCTGCTCTCCTTTGAAGGGACCCCTTTAAAAATGTCCAAAATTCTGGATTATTTGGCAAAGAAAAAAAATCACTTGCTATTTGAAAGAACACAGGGCTGGCAAAAAGAAGAAAGAAGAGTTTAGAACTACTCTCTTCGGTTGCTCTTCTAAGCAGTATTGGACCTAGAAAACACGAGGAAGTACCAGATCAAGTACTGTTCCATCATCCTTCGCTGTTTGAACAATACCATTGAGGCAGCCCATAACTTCTTCAGCCAGTCACTAGCAGGTCAGTTTTGGTGCTTAAGATATTAAGCAACTGAAAAAAACAATGTATTTTCATCGGTGCTGTATGTCAGTTCTCAGTCTCCCCTCATTTAAGTGGTCGGGGATACATTTGTTACACAGTACTCACAGCAAGTCTCAGGATTTCAGGCAGACCTACTCATTCCCAAGGAGTCTCCTTTTGGCTCAGTGAAGGCTTTCGAGTACCCGAGCTCACATTCCTTCTGGAGGCAGCCACCATGACGCCATTTACCCAAAGTACTATTTTTAGTGGGGCTGTTACCATGTTGAAATATCAGTTTAAAGTTAACCAGTAATACAAAACAGTACTTTTCAGTGTTTCCAGTGAAGGAGCTGAGAAAAAAAAAAAAATCTGTAAGAAACCATCGCTGCAATTTTATTTTAACAAAAGGGCAGATTTATTCATGTTTACAAACAAGTTTCAAAAACAAAAAGGAGAACATGTATGCTACCCACTAACAACCTTTCAAAATGCCAACAGCCCTCATGCTGCATGAAGGATTCTATAGATTAGAAAAAAATCACAGTTCCACTCACAGTTCACCAAGACAGCACTAAACTAACATGTTTAGACAAAAACAAAGGACTAAGATTCTGATGTATTTTGATTTAATCCATTTTGCCCGAGATAACAGAAATATTTCAAGCAAGTTCCATCACATATTGATGTCCTGCATTAAACAATCCTACTAAGTTCTGAACAAAAGTTATTCAGTAAGTTTCTCAAAATTTTTAAAAATTAAACAGTTGTTTCAAAACCATTAAGTAGTAAATGTATTTAAGAAACTAATTAGGACAGAGGCCATAACTTCATTAGAACACCACTGCTCATGTTTTTACAAAGCATTAGTGTTATCTATTTGGCTATTAGTATTAGCAATTTATCTACAATATTTAACAAGGTAAATTGCAGGCAAAATTTAGTACAGTTTCAATAGAAACACCCTTTTCCTGAAAATACAGCAGTATTTGAAGGACTAGTTTTTTTGTTTTTTTGTTGTATTTTTTTTCTCTGCATCATTTATAAGGAAGCTTCCCATCTATGAACAGGAACAAAAAAAGTATCTACAAACCTTGTAAACAGATCTGTATCATTTATAAACATAAATAATCCAAATTATTAACAGCCAACAGCAGAAATTAAAGTATCAATTCAACGATCCAGGGCCTCCTTGCCCTTCCCAGCCTTCCCCTCAGAAAAGGATCATGATAAACTAAAGCTCTGCTAACACACTGTTCAGGACCATTCTTAAGTACAACAGATGATCCACAGGTCACTTATGCTGAGTTACTGTTTATCTGTCAGAGTTCATTATTACTCCCACCCCCAGAAAAGCACCCTCCAGTCTGGCAGAAAGCTTTTTTTTTTTTAAAAAAATAAATCTACATTCGTACAAGTGTGTCTTCTGTTGAAGTCCAAGACAAGAATATCATCTTGTCCATCATAATGTGTGAAGAGACCCAGTTTCAATTTCTTTACAATGCAGCTAGTGTGTTAACATTCAGCTTACAATCAGAGTGATGTTTCCAAACTATGTAGCGGGCTCCCTGGGGATGAAGAGGTAGCAGACTTGTTCATGTCTGTTGTAAGGTGAATTCCACTGTCAACCGCATTGTTATTTTTATTGGGGGAGGGTGGGGGAGTAGAGTTGCGTTTTGTTGGAGCGTCATCTTCAGCATCGGTATCATCAATAAGGGGAATATGAGGCTCGGAGTCTTCTATTCTAAACTCGGGATGCGTCATAAAATTGTGAATCGAACTTCGTGTCTCAGGTTTCTCGAGCCCCTCGTACAAGGAGCTACGAAATGCATTCACCACTCGGATCTGCAAACAAAGGAAAAAGGCTGTTAAAATCCTGCAGGTTTCCCGGTCATGGCGTGGTTCATTATGAGTTTGAATCCACAAACAGCTAGACATGAGTGAATCGGATTTGTATGTGATGCAGTGGAACTTGCAATAAACTGTAAAAAATGAAGAGCATTTCAGATAAGCACTGCCAGTCTACACAGTAGGAATAAAAACTGTAAGAGTACTGCAAAAAGCTGAAGGGCCTAAAAATTCAGACATGGCACTAGAATTGTTCACTTATTTAACATGGGCTGAGCATTTTTCAGGAGTGAGGCCAACAATTCTTTACTTATTCACAAATTAAATAAATCTCAATGAGTGTTTTATTGAATACTTGGGGCAGGTGTGGGGAGGGTGGGGGGTGGGAAGGCTGAAAATAAGTTAGAGGATAAAAGGGTTACTAATTCTCATGCTGGGAACTGGGATGTCAACTGACTATGAAAAAGCCAAGCAAGTGTAAGCCAATGTCACAATGACTGGACATTTACAAAGAGTCATGCAAAAAAGGATACCACTGTTAACAGCTGTAAATATTCGAGTATATACCCATTTACCACACTAGAGAAAGTTCCTTATTGAATAGCGCTTTGGAAACTCAAGACCAGAACTAGGAAATTTAATACTCTACTGTACAATTAAGTAGCCACAATGGATAGTCTCTTTAAAGTTACAACCTAAGTAACACAAAGTATGAGAGAAGTAGGTGATCAGCCTTTGCTCGAGTCTTCAGTTTACATTAAATTCATGGACAAAATTCCCAGGCTAAATATTAGTTCAAGTCCTTTCATTGTTTAATTAACGTTTTTCAAGTCAGAAAGCTAAGTTTACAGAATTGATAAATAAACATTTCAGAGTGGAATTAGGCAGAATAAAGTACAGCTTCATTTTGCAAATTGTGCATGTCCAGGTTGACTTAAATTTAAGCTTTCCAAACTGTAATTTGAATGATGAAACCACCTGCCCGCCCTCCCCCTTCTCCTCCCACACCCCACGTGTTTCCCTGACCAACTGCAGGAATTCAGGATTCATTCCTGAACTGATAAAACAAATAAGGCTAAGTAGAAGACAGTGTCCTGTCTGTCCAACACTCTTGTCAAGACAGTTTCCCCCTTCTGTTGGCTGCCTGTTCAGTTCTCAACATCTCTAGTTAAGTACATTGTATAATAAGCAGCAATGTAGCAGTAAGTTCTTTTTCTACTAAAGACTAAGTCCAATTTAAAGGCATTTTTTTAACACTTTCAAGATGACTCCTTTCAAGCTGAGAAATGTGTCACAACTAGTGCTTCTGTAGAGTCCCTTGACAGTAAAAAAAAAAAAGTGACTTCCAGGTGAAGGAATGAAGCTGGAAGGTCAAGCTGATCAAGAGCACAGACTCCAAAACAGCTAAGAAATACCAAACAACCTCACTATAAACACAGAGGAGGGCAAAAGCAATGCATTAACAAATTTCTTACCACAGAATCACTGAGTGTGGTAAAGGCTTAGGTCCTGACTCTGTTCTTTGACATCTAGAAATAGAGGTTCCCCCACCCCTAATCCCTCAGAGCACTTGCCCAAAGAATTTTAGTCAAAAGCTATCACATTCCCATTTTTATACTACAAGTACCCAGCTGAGCCCTGTTAACCATGGAAACTGGGGGAGAAGGTGCACACCACACTCAAGGGGGAGGACATCACTATCAATAAAGGGAGAACAGGGAACAGCATGAATGTGCTTGAGAAGTAAAAAAATTACAACAGCAGCTGGTGCTTTCCTGTTCATCACATGAAGAAATGGAGCACGCTGTTAAGGAGTTGGTGTGTTACATGAGCTTTAACCAAGTCCAGCAAGCTGCATCAACTCTCCTGGCACTTCCTAAGAAAAAATCAGCAGTGACAATGCCAGACTGAAAGTTTGCAATGCCGTTATTTGGCACGTAGCATCCCCCTGTGCCATGGATTTATGTGGCAAAATGAAATATGACTGCCTCGTGGGACTGGTTTTTCATTGCTTACAGATGGTCGGTTAGAACATAAGCAGTAATGGAAACCAATTTTTGGTTAACAGGACAGCTGTAATTATCACAGGAATATCAGCATACCAACAATAAAGGCTTGATTCCCATGCAGAATGCATCCTGAACAAGTGGTCTAGACACTCCTATGAACTCAGGACCGTCAAAGAGTCCAGCCATGAAGGCAGAAACTAGACTATCAACATTTTAAGTTATACTTAAAAAGGGGAAATCTAGTGTTTTGGAGCTTTATGTTCAACTACTCAAGATAATTAGATGAGAGAGGTAACTATAAATAAATTGCATAACTGAGGAGCAAACAAGACAATTTGTTATGTGTAATTTATACTGTCATCAGGCCTTCCTCATCTTAGTACCAGAATAGTAAGGAATGCACTAAGCACTCCAAATCCTCCTAGCCAGATGGTTGCTTAAGAGTTGCAACCTCACTTCATAGGAACAGCTGAACTATTTTCCAACAAACAGCTCCGAAAGAGAGACACAATGAAATAACACATCTGCTTCCCATTAATACATATTAATTATCTAAAGTTGTTCTCCTGGAGGGTGTAGCAGAAGGCTCTACTACTTAGTGAGGATCAGAAACGAGTTCTCTGCTATTGTAGCTCCGTATCTGCATTGGTCATTTGATGTAATGAAATGCTGCAGTGCCCATTAGATTCTGCTCAAATGGCAGCATGGCGTGAAGTTGCTCTCTAGAGAATTCTGAATGTCTAATTAATGTTCTTGAGTGTAGTTAGGGATACAGGTTACTAATTAGCATTTTAAGTAGGAGATGCAATCCTGTGCATCCTTACTGTTAAATCTACTTTTCATTTTGGGTTCTTGAGGTGTGTGAATTTGTGAGCCGAGCTTCTCAATATTACTACAAGGTAGGGAAATACCTGTCTTGCTGATGGAGAACAAGTACAGAGGTAAATACTTGTGCAAGCTCACACAGGAATTCTGGCCAAGCCAAAAAAGAAAATAAATCAGAAGAGAACATTTCATTTAAGACAGCTCCTGAAATTAAGTGTCTTCATCCATCTGGTAATCTGAAAGTTTAAAAAGCAGGGGGGAAAAGAAGCCCTCTCAGAGTTATTTTAAACAACAATTGTTTAACCACTGTTTATGAAGTTAGAGAAGGAAATCAAACATGTAATATATAATTAAGATGGAAAACTCTTTCAACAATAGATAGTAGCTATCAGTATTCAACTACAACTGCTATGCATCTTCCAGCTCCAGAGTTTAAGCCTACATACACGAGTAATTAAATCTCTAGCCTCTACAGAGGGGAAGGCTGAAACTGAAATGCCACTTATAGAAGATAAAGAGGGCACAATTAAGGTGAGACAAAATTTACTTTCACTGATGGCTTAGGAACTGTTGCCAGAAGAACCTAGAGAGGAAAAAAACCCTTTGGATTTGAGTAAAAGTTCCACCAGTCAATACTTAAGCTTTTTTCCTTTTAATATTAGCTAGTTAAATGCTTCTTCTGACTTGTACGCATTTTAGAAGCCTTGTTTCGCCACCTGATGTTGAGAAAGTTGTGTTATTCAGTAAAAAAAGTCCAACAAAAGCAGAGACTCAGAAGCTCCTTACAGGCTACAAAGAAAATGTATTTAGTGCTCCATGTTCTAACTACATATTTTTAACACACCATTTGCTTTCCCATCAGCTTGTTTAACTGAAGTATCATTTGTGTTCTGTGCAAGACAACTATTTTTGTTGACCTGGGTCCATGATTATACAGTTTATTTACTTACTCAATATATATAAGTCACCCTAAGAGGCATATACTCGAAAATTTACAACAGTTTTCCCATTTGTATCTTTAAAAATCCCCCTGTACATGAATGGATGAAGGCACAGGATGTGCAGGCTCACAGCTTTCACATTTATGTCTTTTGTTGAAACTGTTCCACCTGTTTTCAGCCCTCTAAGAAAAAAAAGTCTTGAGGACTCCACTTTGTGGAAGAGCTCTATAAAAGCCTGAACGATGATTTTAAGTACTAAGGAGAAAATGAGAAACGTTAGGTACGTGAATTAGGAAATGTTAATTTCATGCACTTTAGGAACACACACTCACACCCCACAGTAGTAGAAGCAGTAGTAGAGGAAAACACTACATGTGTAGGGGTAGAAATATTTGTTACATCATGGTGCTGGCTGGCGATGGAGGGTTGCCGCCTTAGAGCCCCCTGAATGGTACTTCCACTCTGGAAAGCATTCACTACATCCATCTGCAAGGAATCAGAGATTGTGACAGCTTGCTCAGCAAGAGAGAGAGAGAACAAGAGAAAGGACCATCCCATCTATAACACACAAAAAGTAAAGAAAAAAAGGCACTTTTTTTTTTCTAAATAGAGTAGATACTCAGGCAAGAGTTGCATTTAGAGCTGAAGAAAACAGAGGACCCTGAGGGATTACACATCCATCCATACCCCCTTTTGGCAATCTCAGTCACACCAGGTAGAACTGCCACCTTAGTCAAAGGACTGGAGATGAGAGGAGAGATTTCCCTCAAAACACCCACTGAGTCCTACCTTTTTCAAGACCATACCTGAGTTTGTATCCTGTTTAGGCCCCTAAACCACAAGATCTGACCACGACGTAATTCCCTCTCAGCATGATCGATCTCCTCTACATCTTCTGCTAGTTCTTCTTCAGGAATCTCTTCCTTCTGTGTGCCATGACCAGCTTCTTTAAGGAATTTCAGACGGCTGGTCGGAATTGTTGAAATCAACTAACAATGAATGAAAAATACGAATCAGAATTATCCTTTTTTAAAAAAAAAATAACAAATGTAATACCAGACTTAAGGCAAAGTTGAAAAAACAAATTATGTAAATGGAAGGAGGGCATCAATGTAGAGCTGAATTGCTGCAAAGCTGTGAATATCCTCACCACTTCCACTGAGGTGTGAAATTAAACTTGGACTACAAACCTAGAAAATAAAACATCCTTGCTAGGGACAAAGAATTCCACTTTACCAGTATTTGACTATGCCAGGAAGAAGCAGTACTGAAGGTACAAAACCCATTAATCCTGTAGATTGTACTTGCATCTGGAGCTTTCAGAGCTCCATTAGTTTGATGAGCATGATGCATTACCTCAAGTGAGAACTACAAAGTTTTAATTAAAGGTAGTCACAGTTAATTCAGAAATACAGAACAGACATGCATTCTTTTGTGACCTCGAAGGCATCAATCCATTTGTAAGGTAAGTGAGGTTTCCAAAACCCTTATCCCAAACTGTTACTTTGCTACTTGGTGTACTAGTAGCACCTATCTTCAGCTAAACAAGTTAGTTTAAAAACAAGAGCTACATATGGCCATTCCATCTTTCCTTTTCATTCCCACCTTCAGGGCTATTCTGGTGAACTATGTGGTTAAGGGGAATCATCTTTTGCTACATCCCATCTAGCAGATCCAGATGAGTTCCAAGACTGCTTTCCTTGATCATCACAAGCCTAGAAGACCGTTTCAGCAGCTGCAGAGGAAAAAGACTGCTCCAAAAGCAAGATAAACAGCCCTTTATGCTGAAATTGCTACTGTGAATGCTCCCACATCACGCTTCAGTTTCTGCTATTCTCAGAAAGTCAAAAGCTCTTTGACTTTAATGAGCCACCAGAGCAGCATGAACTGCAGCAGGGAAGCTTTGCCCTTGCAAGACACTTTGGGTCAAAGGTATTTCAAGCCATCTCGATTCTCTTCTAGGCTACTTTGAAACCTCAGAGTGACTCTATTTGATTTTTTTTTTAAATAATTAATTTTCCAGAGAACCTCATTAAAAAGCTTATACTCACTTTAAAAATATGTCTGTGTACGTATTTACAACTAAAATTCACCCTATCAATTTTATACTGAAACCTGAAGTGTCGTTTACAAAATGGAAGGAAAGAAACTGTAATGGAAAACTCTTCATGTGGTATGAAAAGTTTAGACAACTATGTCATTAAATAATGGAAAACTCTGTAGCTCTAAAGTTTCATGTAAATAAGCTTGCTGCTTACAAGCACTGTTGTGCATGCAATAGTAATTAAACCCTAAGGGGGGAAAAATAATCAAAATGCAATAGCTTAATAGGTGGGTGAACTTTCTATTCTTTCATAACTATGCAAATGAAGATGAAAGAGAAAGCTGTTTTCTGTTTTGCTGCGTTTCTTGCTACTCCAGGAAGTTTTTTAAAATCAAGAAAATACTCAAAAGTTAAGCAATGCTGATTTTTCAAGAAAACTATTCAACACTAAGTTAAATGTTTTTGACATTAACATGGTCATGATATCTCTATTCTTACGGAACTACTTCTTGGGCTAAAGATATAATTTCATATTTAGAAGGTTAATACAGCTGCTTGTAGTTAAATGTTACTAAACATAAACCAGCCATAGCATCTAGTTATGAAATGTAACTAATTGACCGAGTCAGAGTAAGGAATATCCAACTAAGGACTTTCTAGCTATTGAACTAGTCAATTTTTCATAAAGTCATATATAAACTGGTCTATTATTCATATAGCCCACTTGAATGATCTGAGTGCTAAAGATAGTGTGTTTTAATTTTCCATGTAAAGTATTCTAATGCAAGTAGATAAAAGAAAAAAAGCTAGTTTACCTGACCCCAGAGTAGTGTTCCCATGCCCAGGAAAATGGACCACAGCCACTGTTCAATTGAGAGTTCTGAGCAACTGAAAGGCTTCCCACCAAACTGCACAATAATTATCTGTGAAGAGCAACACCATTAAACAACATGTGTCAGTGACCTGTTACTAGAAAAACCCCTAATGCTTCAGGATCCCTCCAGACAGTTCTGTAGTAGGACACAGGCTTTCCCATCCTATTAAGCACACGCTTCCACTGTCTCAGCAGTTTGAGCAAGTTTCCAAACTTAAGCCATCTTCTTATGCTTTTCAGAATTTCAGGAACTATCCATTTATTCTTCAAATGTCACACCCACAAAACCTTGTTCACTGCTTCATTTTACTTGCAGTTCTTTCTCTTCTTTTCACTATTACAGCATGTATGTGATGCTACAAATTTACAGTGATTATTTATCACATAAACACCCATCTCAGGACCAAGTTGATTAATAAACTTCAATGAATGTTGCAGATCCACAAGCCATGAAACATTTCTGAAATAATTCAACAGAATATTACCACGCATTCCATCAGTGTTAAATGTCAGACTTTAAATCATCACGGTGTAACATCTATGCAGTAAGCCTGGGAGAGGGGGCAGAGATCTCAACAGCTAAATTAAATAAGCTTCTATTGACTTACCTATTACAATAAGCTGTACAGGCCCTAATGAGCAAGGTATCGCTCTGCATAGGAATTATATGCATGAAAGTCTGCCCTGGAGAATCAACAATTCAAGTAGAGGGCAGGCATGGAAAGGAGGCAGTATTGACCATTAAGTAGGACACCTGACAGCCGAAAAGCCCAGGAGTATCTTCTTTTATTAACACCGAATAAGACACTCAGATGAACAACTCAGGAGTTACTTATTTGGGAAGGCATTCAGTCCACCAAGTTTATAAAGGGAACACAGTTGCAGTCAGCAGCAATTTCTACATATTTTGCTTTGTTGCACAACAACAGAGATTCTGCTGCATATGCAACCCTAAAAATAAGAGTAGCTTCTGAAGAAGTGTCATCTAAAAAGAAAAAATTAAACCTGGGATAACAAGCAAACTAACTTTATGTGAAGCAGAGGTGCACACATTTGCATTGCTTGAACCGCTACAAATTTGGTCAACTTCATGCAATCCCAGATCTAAGGAGAAACTTAAGGCATAGGTTATATTTTAAGTCTGAAATAGCTTTTAAGTCAAAATGGAAGACTTCTGAAAAAAGGTAGGATACTGATTTGTTGGTTATTTCTTCTGATGAATTAAAAGTTAAGGCCCTTTAAGAAAGGGCCACTTAAAGTGAAACTGTTGTAAACTATTTTCTTTAGATTCAGTGAGTGTTAACTCAATCAATTTCAGATAACTTAATTTCATTTGTTCGCATATACATATACTGAGTTAACAAACTAGCTTTTACAAGTCTGCACCAACAGAAGGTCCCTAGCCACCAGTGTTTTTCACCTGAAACAGCAGCATCTATACAGATAACTCATTTCTGCATCAGGAAGACAAAAACCAGTATTTAAGTTTGTAAAGCTTATGCATGTCCTAATCTCATGAAGAAGATACGAGAAGTAGCAACTTTTCTATAACTGTTAAAACAAGCTCTCGTTCAGATGTACAGGCAGATACCATGAGGAAGAGTTCTGACCGCGGGGGTGGAGGGGAACATACAGCTTCACATTTTATCAAGAGATTAAAACACAAAGATCAAATTGAAGGACTAGAAAATTCAAAAGGTAAATATAAGTACTTCTACATTCCAATTTTTACCAATTTCAGATAGAGCTTACCTGAAAACCCTGTCAAGCAGCAGCGACTTGCAGCATGTTTGACACTGAAGGTTTTTCACGTTGCAGAATGGAAATGCCTGGCACTAGTTGATTAGCATTTCCAAGCAAGTACATCAGTGCAGTAAGTGCATTTCCCCTCACCCTCCAAGAATTTACTTACCTGCACAACAAATGTCCCCAGAACAATAGAACAGAAGATCGCGTTGTTAAAGATTCCTTCAAAAACGTTTCTTTCACCGTGAATTTTTCGGGCATTAATTTCATTAAAAAGCTGCATCATCACAAATGTGTTAAATACAATAGTATAATGCTCTGAAGGAGGAGCATGCAGAGGTGCGTTTCTTCCACTATCGATATCAAAGATTTTCTCACCTGTGTATAAAAGGCATTTATCAGCAGCTTAATTGGTGTCTTTACACACACAACAATAAAAAATTAGTTTTAAGATCACATCTCTGCACAACTTTTAGAATAACTTGGTAAGGCCTCAGTATTCTTACCAGCAAACAGGAGCGTGAAGACCACTACGAGTTGGTAGAAAGCATGTCCCAAAATGTTCTTCATCATCGTACGGGAAATCAAAGGTTTGTTTCTACCATAAGGCTTTCGCAGCAGAAGAGACTCGGTGGGGGGTTCCGTTGCCAGGGCAAGAGAAGCTAATGTGTCCATGATGAGATTGACCCACAGCATCTGCACAGCTTTAAGCGGAGAATCCTATAATAGATAGATACATAAACCCCCCAATATAAGTGAACAAGTTGCAGCTATTAAAGGCATCTGTTATACAACACGGGCATGTTCTTTGGACTAGTAGTTAACTGGAAGTTTCAATTCCAGTTAATCAGTCATGCCATTTTCAACCTTTATTATCCAACACTGGTACGTACTTGTGTTATGCATGCTCCTGTAAAAGCAACAATTACTGCTACTACATTGACAGTAAGCTGGAACTGAAGAAATTTGGAGATGCTGTCATACACGTTTCGTCCCCACATAACTGCTTTGACAATACTTGTGAAGTTGTCGTCTGTAAGGATAATATCAGAAGCTTCCTTAGCTACATCTGTTCCAGCAATGCCCTGGTAGAAAAAGAAAAACACTATGAAATATAACAGGATGCACTGACTTATGTAATAGAAGCTATTATTGTATCCTTGGGTCAGCATTCACTTTAGGTGCTTATATTAAAATAGTGCATCAATGTTCTACTGATTCAAGTTCTGCTTGCAAGTTCTACTCAAGCATAGTGATGTTGTCTTTGAAATAAAGACCTTAATAGAAATCCTTGAGTTGACAGTAAAGACACCACGCAAGTTCTCCCAAAGAAATGTTACTGATCCCTGTTCAAGTTAAAAGCCACCAGATGGTGCAGTACTACTGTTTAGTCTATGCCCTTGCAAGTTCACTATATGGATTCCAGCAGTAGGGCAACGCATGGGTTCCTAACACAGTAGAACGATACGCATTAACAAAAACCTTCTGCAGAAGAGCACTGGCATTAAACAGTAGACTATGCAATATCATTGCATATGACATTGCAAAGCAATACGACATTATTATGTTTTAAGCACCTGTAGTTTCCTACAGTATCCCGACAGTTAAGCTGAGTTCTGTGTAATACCTACTTCAAGTATATTTATTTTGCTTTTGGCATTTCAAAAACACTAACTCAATAGCAAATGTAATGATCCTTATTCCTGATACATTATTTTGCCAAGGAAATGAGTCACCTGCATAGCTCCGTGTAAACCTCAAAAGATACCTTTAAATATCACATAGTAGACAATATATTTTAAGTGTTATTTAGATAAGCAGTTAGAGAAATTAGCTCCTTACACAGATGAACATAAGACAGCAACTGCATAAAACATTTAAGTTTCTGAAGATGGAAATAAATTTGCCCCTGACAGTGCCAACTACAGCAGCTATACAATAGCAGAAAACAGATACTTGTTAGAACAAAACCATTACAGTCTAGAGAACATTTCATGTGTAGCTGTCAAATTTGTAAGTTATGCTTTTGAAAAATGCTCCTTGAGAATGACAAGAAAGCTCCTCCTCTTCCCATTTTTCCCTTCAAGATTAGCATCCGAGTCAGTGGATCTGCATGTGGTGTAAGAGGAATGTGGTCTTCGTACTTTTTTTCCTTCAAATATTTAACAGTGAGTTTTTAAAGACTAAACTGACCTGCTAGCATCAAACCATACCTCCTCAGCTTAAGACTGAAGAGGAATCTTGAGGCACGAGGAAGCTTGAGGAACCTATCTTACAGTATTTTGAAAGAGCAAGAAGAAAGCTGAAGTCCACATACATGAGTCTGTCTAGTACTAGCACTTAAACCCAAGAGTTGGATTGGCTACCATTTGAAAGGGTAGTTGAGAATTTAAACTGAGAAAAGCCGAGTAATCTAAGGAGCCATCAAAACAAATCAGATCCTAGCTGTTACTTCAGCTGTACTAGAGATGTCTCCTTAGTATAGCTTCCCAAGCCATCTTAAACATCAACTGGCAGTCTCTCTCTTTACAGTCTCCCCGTTCCTGTGCCTCACTTCATGGAAAACAAATCAATAAGCTCATTCCATATTCGAGTATAATTTTTACTTAAAGTCAACATAGTATACTATTTACCACCTAAGGTCATTTTGCCTTATGCTGAACAGATCTCATTTCAGAAATCTTCAGTATCCGTAATTCTGTTCCTACATTTTGTAGTAAGCCTTTGTGTAAAAGGGTTTTGAAAAATTGTGACTGAAAAGTGCATCTGAAGTTTTATTCAATGGCAAATGCCACAAGGACATCTTCCATCAAATAAAAAGTTGGAAGACTGAGGAAGGAGGAAAAAAGTAATTAGTATTAAGTGTGAGATACATTGTCTCCATTAACTTAGTTATATATTAGGCTCATCAAAAAGCAAGGCTGTTCAATCTTCATTTAAGTGATTCACTAAGTTATTTTATCAAAATAGTCTCCAAAATACTGCAGATTGAAAAAAAACATACCATAGCAAATCCAACATCTGCCTTCTTCAGAGCTGGACCATCATTGGTACCATCACCAGTTACTGCTACAACTTGCCTCTGTTCAAAGACAGTGCTGTCAATTATACCTAAAATAAAATGACATCCCGGTATTACAGTTCAAAATTGACAACACAGCACAGATTAAACCTAAAAGAGAAACCAAGTTTTTTGTCTTCCTCTGTCATTAAAATAAAATTAAAAAAAAAAGTTAAAATACATAGTTCTAGTTGGCTCCATTTCTCAAGTAGGAAAAAAAAAATAATGTCAGTTGGCAAACAAAGATACCCTCAGAGGCACTTCCCACTGCTCAGCCCTAGAATTTTTTCCTTACAAGCAGAAAAAATAAATAAATCTTGCTTTACTTAAAAGCTCAGATAGCCTTTACTCACCTTTTACTAGAGTGTGTTTGTCAGTGGGAGAAGATCTTGCAAGAACACGTAGCTTTGGCCAAATTTTATCTATTCGCTCTTGCTCTATCTGCAAACAGAGCACTGGTTACATCTTACAGTTAAGAGACTTAGAATATCTGCTAATCTACTTTCCATAGTCAGTGTGCCTACCTCTCCTTTTTCATTGCGTATCCTCCTGTTAAAGTCTTTGCCCTCCAAACACAGGAAGTCTTCACCAGGATTCAGAATACCACACTTCAGCGCAATAGCACGAGCAGTGTTAATGTTATCGCCAGTGACCATGCGGACAGTTATGCCTGCACGTTGACACTTTTTTATTGCATCAGGTACCTGTGAGAAAAAAAAACAAACCACGGGCTTAGAGACTGTACTTTAGCTGAATAAAATCTAGTCATGTGAGTGAAAAGAATGTTTTTGGCTCAAATCTAGGATAACTATTTTAAAAATCAAGACTGTTGTTATGGAACATTGGAAAAAAACAAACTAGAAGTAGCTTACCACAATTCTTTTTCTGAAAAACACACAAATGGCAATTCTGGCAAAAGGGCATTGTTGTTATGTCATGTATCCCCATCACCACCCCCCATTTTTCAAATGCTGCAGTATTCAAAAATACCACAAAAATCCTCATGATGGATTAGGCTGTAGTAATTGACGGTAGAGTACTGGCTTTTCATTTATGATTATGTGAAATAAACTACAGCTCACACTCTGCTACTTCACCCATGACTTCTAGTGTGAAGTGGTGACAGTGCAGATCAGACTGGAGTTCCACTTACATGTGGCATGGAAGCTTTCACTATTGAAAAAATACTGCCCTCTTTACACCCCAACCAAAGCCGGACTCCTTACCTCACTTCTCAGGTGACAAACCCACCTCTCCATCATTCTCCACAAGAAGCTGGCAACAGGCACAACGCCTAATATTATCCTAAAGAATACTCCTAATTTCCCAAGTGGTAAAAAAATGACAAGTTGTTCTACCTACTGAGACCCTACACAGTAAGCGCCTTAAGTCATTAGTTTGTTCAGAGCTTCAGTAACACAGCATAAGTGACGTTAAGAAGTTTTAATCTGCTTTTATAGCTCCATTAACTTTCCCTCCAAGAAATTAGATTTTCATTTATCAAATATGCTTAAGGCATACAACAGCAATTCAGTTACTTGTACTCTCTGCATGACAAACAACAACATGAGTCAAGATCCACTGTAACAAAATCACTGCAGTTTAGTCAGTGACCTCACCTCAGGTCTCACAGGATCTTCAATCCCAACAACAGCAATGCACGTCAGACCAGTAACAATGTCATTTTCATTGTCCCATTCTGGCTCAGGTTCCCCTGCTGGGAAGTCTCTGAATGCCAGGCAGATGGTTCTGAGCCCTTCAGAAGCCATTGGCTCAATGACGGTTTTCACGATATCATCACGGTCCCTAGGTCTAAAAACCTTTGGTTCTCCATTAGCACTCAGTATTTTGAAGCACCTGAAATGAAGATTTTAAGAGTTATCAAATTTTAACCAGAAGTTCAGCACAAGCAACGGCTTCTTAGTCAACTCCAGTAAGTTTCCACAAGCTTTGTTTTCACTCAACTCGTGCACACACAAAAAAAGCCAGCAGCAGCATCTCTAAGGTAATCTTCTCCATATGCACTTCATTTCTTTCCTATTGCAAAACATACTAGAGAGTTAACTGAGCCAGTCATCCCGAATGAAAATAATGCCCAATGAATTTAGGACACAAACATTAGTTACCTCCCAGAAGTATCTGTTTCTCCATTGTATGTAAACAGACTGGTGCCTGCACTGGTTGAGTCAGTCAACCCAGTTTCAAGTTCAACAAAATAATCCTACCTTGTTAACAGTTATACAAGTCTCAGAAGTACAGTCTGCTTCCAGAACGTGCATGTGGTGCTTACACAGCTGTAAGCACTAAACTTGCAGCACTAAAAGCAAACTCTGGTACTGCTGTCCTTAAGTGTAGTAAGGTTTGCCCCCTGCCCCTCCTCCCAATCTAAGTTCAGAGAATTCAGAAAGCATCTGGCATAGAGTTCTTAATATAAAGTATTAAATTAAAAACAAATACTTAAATCTGATTTAAATGTTTGTACAAGAGACTAGATTTCACACTATGTACTCTAGCATTTCAACACATGCTCTTTTAGTTATGTTTCTCATGCCGAATACGCCATTGCTTGCATAGACAGCATATGTACTTTACCAATATTGATGCCATGAACATAAAACTACCAAATACTTTGAACAATAAAATTATTCTTCTTTATCTGTGTCTTTAACAAAGTTTTTCCATAAAGCAATGCCATAAGCATTTGTTTTACAAATTAGTACTAAGGTGGAACCGAAAAAAAAATGTAAGAATTTATGACTATTTTAAAAATGACTTCTGGCAGGTTTAAGTGTTTAGTCCAAGGGCTTAGAGAATTCCCAGGTGCAATATATGTAAAAAAGGTTCCCACCTCAGCCAGGAAATTAAAATGAAACTTAAAGGTTCAAAGTAGTCATCATAACTGAAATTTGAAGTCTATCTAATTTCCTGATTTCGTTTTATCTGTTGAAATGTCAGCAACCACTGAGAATATCTTGTGTTACCTGCCACCATAAAGCCTGCGATAAATTCAAAGCATTCCAAGATGACTAAATCGAAGCCAGTAAGTTTTACGTAAAGATTTAACTGAAACTCACCATCAAGTCAAATATTTTAAATAAAGAAGAATAATACTGCTCTGCTTGAAAGAGTTTGCTGCATTTTTTTTTTTTTTTACATTTATTAGTGACTCACTCATGTCATTCCTGTTTAAACTTTCAGTGCCCAAGAACAGTCGTACATGTTATAATAAAGAATGAGCAGTACAATGGACAAACCAGTTACAAGTTCTGAGATTAACTTCTGACACTGCACAGGTAGCAGGTAAAGAAAGTGATCTGTGATGCTAGGACTTTTTCCTAGTCAGTGCATACTCTGAAATAGTTTTGGAATTACAACTATTCATGTAGTATCCAAATCAGTCTAGGTTTTCTTGTTCTTTGCCAAATGCCCTTATTATTTATTTTCTTATCACAGTTACAAAGCCAAGTGGACCACGAGCCTGGACTGAATGAGCTCTAGCAGTTTCTACACTTCAATTGCTCATAAGGTAATAAGGTACAAAATATTTCTGAAGGAAGAAGTAATGCAAATATAGACATAGTTATTCACTGGTGAGACTTGGCTTCAAATCCAGCTATGAAAAAACTCACATTTAAGTTCCATATCAAAAGGAACAAGAGTCCTTTAAAGACTGACCTTTTGTTGTCAGCACTAACTTGAGGACAAGGAAGATTTCATCGGTTTTCTTTAGTGCGTTAGTTCCTGCAGAATGATTTTGGGGGCTAGTACCAAGCAAAAAGGTAAACTGAACATGATCTAAGCGCTACTCACACTAGAAATAGTCTGATGTTCGAACCAAAACCAGACTGACTACAACTGCTGTTCCTAGAGAACATGACGCATACATGCTTGACTTCTCTCCTCACATAGTTAGGCCTTACCACAGCCTTCTTCACACCTAAAGGTTTGTTCCAGTGGTGACTAATAGTCTAATTTCAGTCTAATAAATCCTCTATAGATGGGCAAGTGGATAAAGAAGCAATTTGCTTTGTCACATTAAAAACCCTAAGTTTCTCCACTGGTCAAGTTCAACCTCCTGTTAAAATCATCAATTTGGACACCAACTTGAATAGTATTTTTGAAGCTAAAAGTAATCACTTTTCAAAGGCAAATCCTTCCTGAAACCAAGGCATATCAGCTGCTGGGACTTCACTGGAAGATAAGTGAGCATTTTGACCAATCACACCTAAAACTTAAATACTTCAACTGGAGAACAGATCAATTCATAGATGCTTTCCTTTATCAGAGCAGAGTTCAAATAAATCACCAGCTCTTTTTTGGAGGGTGGGGCTGAGGTGTGAGAATTGAAGTAAATGAAATGCTAATTGCCCACCTTACAGTAGAAAGTCAAACAATTGAGGGAGACAAGGTTGGAAGCTGGCTGCAATCATACGGGTATGGAATGGCTGCACTTGTTTGATAACAGGTAACAGAACGTTTTACAGATTTATGGCACAGTGTTGTTTAGCACTTCAGTCTCCTCACCTATCACAACATTTAGCCAAATTTAAGTGCTGAATTACAACAGTAGTTTTTCTTACTTTTTAAGAACTATCTCAGAGGCACCTTTACTGAATATCCGGAAACTGCCATCAGAGTTTTTTAACACAGTACTCATAGATTTTCTAACAGAGTTGAAGGTGTACACTTTGTATAAATCCTCTTCTGGTATCTCATTTCTTACGTCCTGATAATCACGTTTTAAATCCAAGAGCAATCCCAGCAAGGCACATTCAGTTTTATTTCCAACATGACGTGGTAGGCCACCCTCTTTTTCAGGAGGCTGCAAGAAGAAAAAGTACAGCATTTAGAAAACAGAGAAGCTGAGGCCAAGCTTAGCTCTGGGATGGGGAAGTTTCACTTTTGCACTGATTACTCTAGAAATTCCTTTGAGTCATGAGCCAGTCAGACTCCTGGCCTTTCCAAGTAGCTTCTTCTGTACCTGTTTAGGGTCTTTCAGTCCCTTTCTCAGACTCAAAAAAATCACACTAAGCTTGTATCAAATCCCAATATGACTTTTCTAAAAGACATATTCCATTGCTTAAAACATCTATCTGGTTAACTGAGTGTAGTCCCTGAACAATCATTTTGCATTTTAAAAGTACAGGTAAGTTTACTTAAACTGATTTAAGCAAGCTAAATGGTATTATTTCTGCTAAATTATTCTCTCCTGTAATAACTCTTCCACAATGACTTAGACTACAAACACATCACCTGTTAGCCTTCTACTGAACAAACTAAGTCTTTAAGCTTCTTAAGTCCCACTCCAAGTTCCGTTTTCCAGGCCATGGCCTATTTAACTGGCAAGAGTTCAGGAACAAGTTTCCAACCCTTTAATACCAGAACAAGTTTCTAATCTCAGCAAGGTGGAATATGCACATACTAGTGCTCAAAGTAAAGTAGTATTTCTCTCAAGCTATTTCTCAGCTTATATAGCACTGCGGTGTAGTTTGTAGCAAAAATGGCAGAAGCACTTACTCAGCCTGACTTGCCTCAAGCAACTAGAGCTGCACTATATTAATCATAAGTCAGTGGCCCATTTTCATCGTTCAGGGCTGCAAGATCCTGGATTGGCTGTACTGCACACTCACATTTTCAAAATGTTCACTTTTAATGGGCGGTTTAAGATGTCCAGTTCTGCGGTCCCTGGCACAAAAGCAATGGACATCCAGGAGCAAGTCCAGCTATGGGCCTCAAAGATGCTAAAGGGACTGGAGCACCTGACATATGAGGAGAGGCTAAGAGAGCTGGGACTGTTCAGGCTGGAGAAGAGAAGACTCTGGAGGAGTAACTTACCAGAATGTAGTAAACACCTGAATGGGGCAGGCAGGCAGAGCAAGGGTAAAGACTGCCAAGCCAGACTTTCTAGTGGTGCCAAGTGAGGGGACAACAGCCAATGGGTACAAACTGAAATTCCTGAAATTCCATTTGAACACAAGGAAACACCTTTTTACTCTAAGGGTTGTCTAATATTTAATAAGGTTGCAGAGTCTCCATTCTTTGAGATTCTTAAAACCTGACTGGATATAGCCCTGAGCAACATACTCTGGCTGACGCTGTTTTGAGGAAGGGGGCTGGACCAGAAGATCTCAAGAAGTTCCTTTCAGCCCTCTGTGATTCCGTAAAACAGATTAACGCTCACTGCACTGGATGTAATTTGATTAAAACTGCAGTGGTAAAGGACCTGGCCAGTTTACATGCAGCTACCTTTTTTTTTTCTGTAAAAAGATCCTCAGAAAATAGATTGCTCACATGCTCTAACTTATAAGTAGTATTTCAGTCTTGCTTCAGAGAAATCTGTGCTGGTGATCTTGATGTACCACCTCAAGAACCTGCTATTGTGAAAATTCTTGCTGAGGTACCATCTTTACTGGCAGAAAAGTAGGTTTTGGACTGGGGTTTTACTGCCATCCCTGTACAAAAGCATTCATAGTGGAGGCTTCTACTAAATATTGCAGTGCTAATTTATTTGGTTTTTTAACCTAAATCCCAATTATTCTTTTTACTGCCTTAAGGAATAGAAGTTACACAACATTTTGGAATAACTACAGCAAGGAACCTACGTTTGGAGTTGGTGAATACAATGCACACAAAGAGTCCTAAATAGCCTAGTATATAAAAAGTGTAACAGTCATTACATTCCTAACAGTCGTTAAATTAGTTTTATTTCACAATATTTTGGAAGTCTCAAGCAAGGCATGGACAACGATGTTACAACTCAAAAGCCTACACACTCACACAACGATATCTGGACTAAGAATCCATTAAAATCCTCAACTGTGCTTGCATTTCTCATTGCACTCCAGCTAATGTTACGCTACTCTTACATGTTTACTTCAAAGTACCACTCAAATCCAGCCAAGATGCTCTTCAAGTAAGGTATAAACAGCCTCACTTTAAAAAACAAAATTCAGACACACCTTAAAGGAAGTTATCTTCTGGAGCGTGTATCTTTGAATTATCAATTTTAACTGAAATAAGCTATTTTCAAGTCAAGTCTCAATTGAAGAGCGAGCAACTCACAGCAGGTACGAAATACCTTATACTGCATTTTGACACACACACTTTACTGTCTACTGTGGGGCCACCAGACAATTTACTTCTTTTGAGTAAGTTACTTAGTTACCTCAATTAGAATGAAGAAAATTCACTTACCAGTATTTTGGAAGTATAAGCACAATTAACAGAAATTCCTGTCACAAGGTAAGCCATAGTTTTCTCTGGAATAGCTTCTGGTTCTGGAATTTTTTTATAATGCTTTTCATTGATGTAGGCTTGGACCACTGTCATTCTGTTCATGGTCAATGTTCCTGTTTTATCTGAGCAAATAGCTGTTGCATTGCCCATTGTTTCACATGCATCCAGATGTCTCACCAAGTTATTATCTTTCATCATTTTCTAAGGAAATAAAAGCAGTCAGCAGCTATCCATGACCATTCTTTCACATTTCAAAAATTCTTAGTTAGGGTCTCCAGTCTTACATGGCAGCTACAGAAAACACTCAGCCTTTATTCCTTTAAGGCTATTATATCACAGTAAACTTCAGTTTGAACAAGGTTCATAAACACGGTCTTAATTGCCTGCATCTGCATATCACACTGACTACTGAGACCACTCAAACTGTTATGAGCAACTAGTTTATGATGACATTTAGAAATAGACAGACAGGTACAGACTGAGCTTTACCAGATACAACATGAAAAAAAAAAAGTCTTTCTGCTTACAAGAAAGATCAAGTAAGCTATGTTACAGACTTACTTGAAAATCATGAGATATATATTTCAAAGGTGCTAGAGTCAAAATTAAACACAAACTGGGAGCCCAATTTTTCAGCTAAGATAGTGAGGACTACACAAGTTCCATAGGTCAAATATCACTTTGTTAACAGGTTTTGGATAGTATTTTAAGCTCAAAGAGGCAGAATAACTTCAAATGATACAATACTAAGGCCACTGCTAGTAGGTAGTGCCGTAAGTTATTAAGTTTTAGAACACAGCTTAAACAGCCATAGTCTTTACAATTAGATTTTCAGATTGATAAACAGTCCCAGCATGCTAAAGCAATAAGAAAATCAAAAGAACAAAGAGCATGAGTTAAAAAACATGCTGTATAATAAATAAAAAGCTATACATACTACAGTAGTCACGTCCTCAAGGAGAATCAATCTGGAAACTTTTGTAGTAGTTGTTTAACACAAAAGTTCAGTAGAAGTTCAGGTTTACAGAAGAGCCTGTTATTTACAAACTCTAACACATCTACTTATTATAAGCAAATGCTACAATGTTATGAGCTAGACCCATTCATCTTTAGTTGGTGACAACAGGTTGTTACTGCTTATTGTTTGTGTCAGAGTGCATTCAAAGATTAAGAAAAAAAACTATGTAAGCTTTCTCACGGATTTCAGAGAAACAAAAAAAGCTTCTCCCCAGGCTGTTATGTATATGTGATGCAGCATCTCTCAACTGAGATTTTACAGCTGATAAATGCAAACGCCTACCTTCAAAATTTGGTCCCCCATCCAGCCACTTACCTTAACAGAGTAAGCCAGAGATATAGTGACTGCAAGTGGAAGACCTTCTGGTACTGCCACCACCAAGACTGTAACTCCAATAATGAAGAACTTCACAAAATACTGAATATAAATTGGTGTACATTCAGCAAGCCACGGTCTCTTCTGAACCCAGAATGTATCAATTACGAAATATAGCACAAGGATAATGACTGTGATTGCAGACATCAACAAACCTTGTTAAAAAGAGAATAAACAGTTTTCAGAAATTAAATCAAATATTTGGCAATACAGACTCTGGATAATTCAAGTGCAAATACTTCTGCCTTCATAGAAGTTAGCTTATAAACAAGATTTTAAACAGGCAAGTCAGGAAACATTGAGGTAGCTCTCAAAGGTGTTCCAACTTCCAGTGCAAGTATTTTCTTGTGCATTTCACCTAGAAATTTCTAAAAATCTATTTTTTCTTCCCATTTAATTGAAAAGTGTAGATCTAATTATGAACAGGACACAAAGTCAATTAACTAAGCAGAGTAAGAACTGAAATAATTCAGCAGGCCTTCAATAACTGTACTGCAGACTTATTCAGTAAAGAAAGCTGCTGACAGTCTGTACCCTGCTTCCTGCTGAAGGTGGGATTATATATGGCAGCTAAGTAGAGTGATCAATGAACTGGGAGTAACTGGGAAGACAAATCAGAACTGCTGCTAGCAAGCTTAGTGGCACACTCAAGACACCACATGAAAACAGTGAAGGAAGATGAACCTGGCTGGAATAAAGGAATAGAAGTCACTGAAGTGTCAGCTTTTCATAGAAACATCCTTCAGTGTGTGCACCGTCCCAGAGCAGGAGGACAGAAAAATGCATCCATGAAGCAGACGAGCATTAAGGGTATGCGGGGAATTACAATGGGTCAAAAGGTGCCTAAAGGAAAACAAGAGCTCTTACTTATGCAAGATGTGAAAAACTTGTTTGATAAGAACAGCATTTTATACTAAACTTTCCATGGACTTAGTCAACACTTGCTAGTACAAGTTTCTCTGAAAAATTAACATTGCTATACATAACCACGGAGTGCTAAAGCTAAAAGTTGAATTGCTTTGTCCTTAGACCATAACTGTCTTCTGACACAGGGGCTGACTTCAGCCCCTTTTAAGCTGTGGGATTGGCTACAAGACTACTAGAAGTTCCTTCTAGCATAAATCTTTCAACAATTCTACATGGACCAAAACAAATCCTAGAATATTTGAATTAAACCTTTACATACAAGATAATATAGCCTAAAGTTTACACTGAACTTCATTGTTGTTTTAATCTAATTTCAAGAAACAAGTTTACCAAATGTTTTGACAAAACAGATGAATATTAATTGACAGAAGAGTGACAGAGGCTAAAGAATAGTAGAAAGTCAATAAAAGTGCTACATACCAGCAAGACGTATCTTAAGTGGAAATTCCTAAGGCTCTGGAAGTACCAGAGATAACCTGGTCACCCTTAGCACTTTTTCCAGACTTCACTCAATTTATAGTTCTTTAGGTACATCACTAAATGCCAAATCTTATCTAAAAACATCTTTCATAACAGTTGTTCAAATGTTATGAAGTTGGAATTTTCTCTTCCAGAAGCTGACAAATCTATTTAAATCAAGGAAAAATAAAAGCCATCCATATGACACAGTCTGAGAAGCCATCAGCACCCTTGCATGCAATGAAATTTTGTGCTTAAAATAATCAAACTGGTCAAGGCTAGCTACTTAAGTTATCATCTTACAAACTATGCATGTTCCAATTCAAATCTGTGACATCAACACAAGGAGGGTACTAATGCATCATACCTGCTTTGCCAATCTGAACTGCGAGCTTCGTGAGTTTGCCTTGAAGAACCGACTTTTCTTTCTTTGGCAGATTTGCTCTCTTCTTGTCTTTCTCATCTCCATCCCCACCATCTTCACTCTTCAGTGGTTGCATTTCCATGGCTGCACCATCTTGAGCTTTTGCTAGAAGTTAAGATCAAATAAAGTTTAGTCATTGAGGAGTGCCTAAAATCAACGGTACACCAAAAGTTTAATAACACCAGCCTTCACTAAACACCAGTACCTTGTATTTAAACAAGCGTATTGGGTGTAGGTGCCAAGGTGCTGGCAGCGGTGGAGCTGCCGCCCATGGGTAAGACCATGGTGGGGCAGATGTGGTCCTCTATGGGAGGAGAGGAGGACAAGTGGACCAGAAATCTACACTGCAGCCCATGGAGGACTACATGCCAAAGCAGGCATTTATGCCCTGAAGGAAGCTGCAGCCTGTCAAGGGGCCATGCTGGTGAAGGCTACTGTTAAGAGCTGTGGCTCACGGGAGACCCACATTTATGCAGTCTGTTCATAAAGGACTGTACTGTGTGGGGAAAAATCCACACTGGATAAGTTCATGAAGGACTGTATCCGGTGGAAGGGACCCCACGATGGAGCAGGCGAAGAACATGAGAACAAAGGAGCAGAGACAAGCGTTATTAACTGACCAAAAACCCCTATTCCCCACCCTCCTCGTGCTCCTCAGAGGCAGGAGATACAGGAGTCATGAGTGAAGTTGAGCCTGGAAGGAAAGGAGGTGCATGTGTGTGGCAGAGGTGGTTTTAGTTGGTTTTGTTTCTCACCACCCTACTGTATTTTGAATTGGCAATAAATTACTCTTCCCCAGGTTGAGTCTCAGAAAATAGTGATGTGCAAGAAAGGATCAGAGAACCCTCATTTACCTTTGTTACGGTTTTCAACAGCTCCATCTTGCTTTTTACCTGTCAGAGAGGGGAACAAGTTGTGTTTTAAATCGGCCATCCAGACTTCATTCCAGTGTTTATGTTTATACATAATGCATACATTACCATATGCTGAAATAAGCAATTGAATTTTAGAAAAAAAATGTTTAACAAACTGGAGACAGAGGATTGATGTAACTGAGGCTTTAAAAGTTTAAGTCAACTCACAGAAACACTTCACATCAGGTTTTGGTTTTTTTTTATACCTTTCCAATAAAAGACTGCCACAGTGTTATGCTACCATAGTTAAGTATGCACAAATTACTGATAAAGACATTTATTTCTTGTGAGGAAAGCTTTTAAAAAGGCTTGCCTAAACAGTTTTCTAGGAAAGAAATTTGCGAAATTAAACTGATTCCAGTGGCCTCAGTCTTGCTTTCTGTTCTTCCAACACTTGGCATCTGCATCTGACTACTACTGTAAATGAACTGTAGGATCTCAATTCCAAAATCAGTGCTTTTGTACAACATTGCAGAAGCTGCTGTAGCATAAAATATTTATAAATCCACACCAAAGCTTAATGGAGGAACAGCGCTGGATTACTGGATCTATGCTAACCCTATTTACGCAAGCACAAACATAATCTGTTGGCAACATCCCAATATTCCACCACTAAGAAAATAGTTCAAGTTCATAATAAAATAGAGCTCCTACCTCTACTCAGAAATGGAGTTCAATAAGAAATCATAAAGAAGGACAGCGAAATAATGGAATAAATTAATGAGTGAAATAGCTTGATGGGGGGCACTACCTTCTTTCATTTGCGTTTTCAGGTTAAAAGGTTTAGATAACACCTTGTCAAGAGACAAAACTTTTCTACTAAGTAGAGGAAGCAAGGGTTATAAGTTACTTTTTGCAATAACCTGAAATTAAAGCAAAAAATTGGGGAACTTAGAACAAAACCCAGAATTTTTCAGTATCACTGCTAATTCATTAAGTCTTTGGTCTTAGGTTATGTAGACTGAAATGTATGACAGTACTCTGGTAGAAGAAAATGAAATTACCAAGCAGCCTGTCTGGCATGACATTTAATGCCTCCACTACATTATTACTGTAGACATAGTCTGATTTCTATACATAAAATTTCCCCCTGAGCATCCTCAGAACAGCTGAGGAGAAAAAAAAAAAGCACGTTCACTTTCTTCAGAAGATGTCACTTCATGCGATGTCACATTGTGACCATGTCACAATCATTGTCTCCTAATTTAGCATTTGTTCTCTCCTAGTTCCCCTTCCCCTCTTAAAAGAGTAAAGTTCTACACTTGAGTTACTTCTAACTCCTTGTACATACGTTTGCTTCCACTCTGAACCAAGCCATACACAGCCAACTAAAAATAGCCACTTTAATCTCCTTAACATTCACAGAGAAGCTAATTTAGTTTAACCTGAGTTTTACCAAGGAGAATCTTATCAGGCACCTAAATTAAGGGAAAGAGGAAGTTGTCTATCTTGAGAGAGAAAAAAAACCCCACAAGAGTTCAGGTCCTAGGATACACCAAAACACTACTTGTCAAAAAGACTTCTGCTTATAAAATAAACACTGGCAGACTATTAATAAAAGCTATAATCTTCTTCATATCTCCTGCAGCAGGTGGTACTGTTGTTTGCTTCCTTCTCCTTCCTCTGTAAGGGAAGGAGCAAAGGACGGAAACTGTTCCACACTAATCCCCCTGACGTGTTGCAGGTCAACATTTCACTACCACATTTGAGTTTGAAACTAATTTTCAACTTCTAATTTGTCTAACAATTCTTGCAACTTACTTCTGAGGAAACTTAACTACTTTAAGTTTCAAGAAGGGTCAAAATTGTGAAATATTTGTGGATTAGGACAAGATCAAAATCAGAGTTCAATCCTAATTCCTGCATAGAGCACACATTTCAACAATTGCCTCTTTAGTTTGAAGGCCACCAAGATTCCTACATGCATTTCTATGTGCGGCTTTCCATTTATGGCTTTCCATTACTGTTTCATATTCCTCTGATGAAAAAAGTGTATTTTTTTCCTGCCAAGAATGCTCAGACTCAGTCCTATCCAGTAGACCTCACACCAGTTCCTAAACAAATTTTTGCTGTGGTAAAGCTTAGTCCTGAACTTGCCTTATGAGAGCTTGTATTAAACGCTACTGCTTAACATATCTAAGCTTTGATTCTCAGGATAAAGACTACAGCTTAGATAAGTGCCCTTATAATTCCAGTGACTGAGCAAGTCCTTCAGAATAAGGAAGATAGCCCCGTTCCACAGAAGGGCTCCAAAATGCTCTGGGTTATAAGCCCCTCATCCCTCAAAAAAAAAAAACAGTTTACAGAAAAGTGTTGCTCAGGATTTGCCTTGTGTAGATCTCTGAGCATTCAAAATTTCAGCCCTGAAAGAAAAGGAGCAGCAAAACAAGCTGTCTGCTCATTTCTATTGAAATCAGTCTTATATATGAAAGATATCCACAAACACAGCAGTATCAACAACATAAGCTTTTCCCCTTCAAGTGTCACAGAAAAACTCTTTGTACTAGACAATTTCTATCTGTCAAAAGCAAAACTAAATACTTACTAGGTTGAGTAATTGGTAACAACCTATTTGCCATAAAGAAATATTTGCTATTAGACTTGAAGGTACTTTGAAGTTACACAAGATGGCAGTTTATACATGGTATGGCTGGTTAGGAGCTGTAAACTTTCCAACCTCTAATGGATCAGTGAGATCTGAAGTTTAATTAAAAATCCACGTGACAAGAGTTATTAGGAGTAACGTACTCCCAGGTCACTGGACCCGAGGGGTTTTTTTTCCCCCATGGAACCTACTGAAAGTATGAAGTTTAAAAAAACGATTTCTGGCTCCAGATGACTAGAACATGTTTTTAACCCAGTACCACTGAGAGTTCACCCCTCCCTCCCCAGGGATTTAAGATTGTGCCTACTTTTCTTGTCCTTCTTCTCTTTTTCCTTCTCCTTCTCCTCTTCATCTCCTCCAGCTCCAAGTAAAGTAAAGATGATTCCAGTCTGAGAGTTCACACCTACAGCAGTAACCACCATTCTTCCAGAGCCTTCCATCACATGTGTACCTGAAAGATTGAATCAGGTTTTCCACTGAGACTCAAGCAGTTACATGGCAGAGCATAAAGGGAATGAGTTCTCAAACTTCATGCTAATTAAACTGTTAAGATGTGTATTTATACCACTGCGTTCCCCTACAGCTCTAATTGCCAAAACTATATGGAAAATAAAATCATAAGCAATTACACCAAATGTCTGTCAGTTTTAAGAGACTGCTCACTTTGACAAAGTTTTGTACTGGTTGCAGTAGCTCTAGATATTTTTAGGAGTCAGGCTGGATAAAATCTGACAAACTGAACCTTACCTTCAAAGTAAAAAATAACCAATTTACCCCCAGGGAAAAAAAAACACAAACAACCAACCACAAAAAAACCCCAAAAACCAAAACCAAACAACTTTCTGCAAGAATTGTCAAATGTTACGCACCTGACAGCAGCATAGGATCCCTGTCCAGAGACTTCTTAACATGATCAGATTCTCCAGTCAGTGAGCTCTCATCAATTTTGAGGTCATTTCCTTGAATGAGTACGCCATCAGCCGGTAAAAGATCACCTACGAGAGATCACTGGGTATGTTGACTGCAGTTCCTTTTTTAAAAACAAAAGAAAGTTCAACTTTAAAAATAAGTTTACCGTATTTCACTTGTGCAATATCTCCAACAATTATGTCAGCTACTGGTATTTGGATGACTTGGCCACCTCTGATGACTGTGAATTTCTGTTCTTGTTCAATACGGCTCTGCAATCCCCGAAATTGTTTCTCTTTACTCCAGTCATTGAAAGCTGTTACTAATACCACACAAACTACAGATAGGAGGATTGCTGCTCCTTCAATCCAACCTGCTTCAGATTCCTCCTCTTCTTCACCAACATTTACTGATCCACATACTGTAGAAAACAGGTTTTAGAAAGTTCATGCAGATAGTTATTTCAACAACAAAAAAGTTTTGCCAAACAGAAGAAACTATTAATAGTTGCTAAACATTTTCCACACTAGCCCTCTTCGCAATTTTATGTTTATTTTCAGCAAGGGTAACACACACAAAGAAGCTAAAGAACTTGAAAGCTAGAGCAGCTCAAGGAAGTTTAAGCTACCCAGAATTTACATCCCTGCTTATCTGAAATAGGAGAAGTTGGTATAGAAAGTTATGTGTCCTTATTATCTTGTTAAATAATGGCATAAGAAAGCCAGACTAGATAATTAGTTAACAACCTTCTGCTTTCTCAACCATTTCCCACTTTATCTTAACAAGCCAGATATCATTGGAAAAATTCAGTTCAATGAAGGCCAGATCCCTTCATCTTCCATTTAGAAGTATAAATATAGCTTCATTTCTTAAATTAGAAAGTTACCAGTGTCATATTGCAAATCAAGGAAAATTTAGGACTTGCTGACTCCCCAAAGAAAGCACATGATCGCAAATTATAAATTGCTTTAATATTTGAGGCAAAGCTAAAAAAAAAACACTTGCACAGAAACATGACAGGGTCCAAGATAAGTTCTTGTTCTGTTGCTTGCACTTTACCTTTGGCATTATGTTGGTCAGAGTGATACCAGATTGCGACCAAGGAAACCTCATGTTGCCCTTTTAAGGCAAGCCAGAGTTTTAGTAGTGTTGTCTCAGTAAGAAACAATACGCTGCTTTTCCAATAAGTTACTGTCTTCAATCAGACTTACAGTACAGGTATGTTGGACCAGGAAAGTCAGTAGTATAATACAGGTAGATACCTACTTTAAGTGAGTTTACTTACATGATTCATTTCCTCCTGGAGGCTGGTAAAAAGAAAGGCCCAAGGATACTACGGCTGCAATTTCTAATATAATTAGTGTAACGTCCTGTAGTGCTTCCCATACTAACTGAAGAAATGTTTTTGGCTTTTTAGGAGGTATAAAGTTCTTCCCAAAAACTGCTTCTCTCCTTTCTATATCTGCTGGATTTCCACTTAAACCTATTTAACAATAAGACAAAGTTAGTGACACTTACTTGCATTTCATGCTCACATTAGAAGTGATTGAGGTTTCCCATTCATAGAGTCAAGTCCCACCCCATATTTCAGTAACAATACTGAAAAGCCGTATCTCAAATATAATTTTGTAAGTATTATCCTTAACTCAGTCACTACAGAAAACCAGCTATATTATATAAAATTCACAGTTTGCCAACACAAAGTAAGCTGATGCTCTACCTACTTGCGCTTAATATGACATAGCAACAGAGTAATAGTAACAGACATACCTTCATAAAAAGTAAACAAGTTTGCAAGACAAGATCATTAGTAGAGTTACTACTATCGAGACTGAGTAGCACCATGCAGCTTAGCAAGACCACAGCCTGTGAAGCCAGTTCTGCTTCCCACTGTAGGGATTGTGTATTCAGAGATAATATCCTAGGATCCTACAATTAATGTAACATTTATAATGAAATGTTTAATATAATAATAGTATAAAATACTATAAATATTGTGTTTGTATATTATTTAATTATACTATAAAACACTATTAAAAGCTGGTGAAGCTTTTCAGGCACTTAATGATGCTGCTTCCACCTGGACAGCAGGAGTTTGCTCTTCTGAAACTTTGTTTTCTATCTCCTTTCACATAGAGAGAGCCCATATTTAGCACTGTGCAGGGTCTGTCAACTCAGTTTTGTATCTATCTTTTTTTTAATATAGTATATTTCTTTCAGAGTCTCAACTCTCGTACCCTCCCTAAGGGACACTAACTAGCAGGCAAGAGCAGGGCCTTCACTAAAAGGCACTGTATGCTTCAAGAATTAGCCAAGTCCTTAAAAATAAAGGAATACTAAATATATTCAGTACAAGGTCATGCACTCAAAATCTTCTGTAAGTACACCTCCTGTTTATTACTTCAACAGTTTCCAGCTGCCTAACCTGTCATTCAGAATTTAAGCCACTAGCTCATTTTTCAAAGCAAAATGGTCAAACACACAGCCATGTTCAGAGCAGAAGTTTGGACATTTCAACTGTATTACCCCCAAGGTTATGATCAGCACCTGCTGACATAGTTTTCCTAGTAGCAGTTTTTTTTATTAAACCCAACTGCTTGGCAATGCAAACACACCAGGTAGTCAATAAGAACAGTGACCAATGCAACTGACTTCCATAATAAGTGGGGTATTTAACACCTTTAACAGACACTTCCTAGAACCTTCACCTGACGTATCAAGACACTTTCCAAAGACGAGTGAACTACAAAGCTCAGTTTTAATTACTAACAACTACTACGTAATCACTTAACTGAAAAGCAAAATATTATGTGCAAATTTTTTCAAAAATGAAACAAATTAAACATACTCTTACTGTATACAATACATTAGATTTATTACAACACTCTTAGATTCACATTGAATTCACAGCTTTGGAGGTTTAATACAGAGGAACAATTCTATTAGTTAGCCATAAGACTACGCTTCTTTAAGTCCAAGCTTTGAGGTGCTTACTTTCACTCAACTCAAAGACTCCTGCAAGACCATTTTGAAAATCAAGCTGTACGAGAGGATCTAGAGAAACTCAGGATAGCTGAGCCATTCCAGAAGGCTGGACCATATTGCTATTTTGCAACAGATACCATTTATCTCTTCGTGTTAGCATGGCAGAGTTTGGAAGATTATTTACTTAATGTCAATGGCAGCACATTCCTCCTCCCTTCACAGGGTAGCAGGATGCAGAACGTCAGAGGTACACAGCAATAGTTTTTGAAGAATGAAAAGCATTTTCCAACAAGGCTATGTAAAGTCCAATTACTATCAGAACCACTTAGTCAAGATTAGTAAATAAGCCTAGCAAAGACAAAAAGCATTTGTATTTTTAGTGTTTGCTATAATATGCCATGCACCACCAATGACCTTGCTACATTTACCACATGGCCGGCAACTTCATAGTTCACAACTTTCAGTCCTAAGGGTAAAACTACTGCCATTATACTGTTCATTATGTTTCTTAATTGGAGTGATTTATGCTACTTGAGGTTAAGTTTGAGAAATATTAGGCAAGGGACTCGCTAAAGCTTCATGTATAAATTTTACTTAAAAATCTAGAAGTATAAGTTACTAGACAATGAAAATTTTGTAGACCTGTGGAAATAAATATCGATGGTGGATCTCTCCGGAATATAGGAAGGACTTTTGCTACTACAGATACGTCAAACATTCATATATTCACATTAGTATATGTTTGTACACATGTAAAGGACACAATAAACATTAAATACCAAGCAATAAAGTCTGCTCAGGGTCTTTCTTTTGTAATAGTGATAAAGGACAGCTCCCATTTCAAATCAGGTAGGTCTGACAGATTTTTGCCTGAAAACAGACATTGCCTTACACCATCAACAACTTTAAAGCAAGAAATTACACAAGCTGAACTCATCCCACTGTGTAGCACTTTGGATCACCTGTAGTTTTGCTGTGAAGGCACCGGTTATCACACAAGTCAGCATTTCATATCATAAAGAAAGCTTCTGAAGAGGAAGAAGTGGCAGGCTTCCACACAAGATTTTAGAGAGGCAGAACTAGTGTAACACATATCAGTTTTCTAAATAGATCTTGCCTAAATTCTCTCCATTAGAAATTCCATTTCTATACTTACAACTTGAATTTGATGAAAGGAGACATAGTTCTAACTTCAAGAGCTCTTCAGAAATTTATAGCAGCTTACCTGACAGAGAGACTGGTTCTCTAAAGGTTCATGGAGTGATTTAGAGCCAAAATGACACCTTTGTAGAGGACACTGCTCTAGCTCATCTTACTTAACCTTTTCTGAGGTAATTATCACATTCAACTGTTGAGGTCTTGCTGTATTTATGAGCTGCGCTCACAATTAAAAAAAAAAAAAAAAAAAGATGGCACCCTTCTATCATGTTAGTGATTGTATTTTAACTGATTGCAGGACAGTACATCGAAACGTCAAATCCTTTTGAAAGGGAAAGGCCTTAATCACACATTCCTCAGCACAGCAGAATCAATCTGCAGGAAAGGGCACCTAACCCTTTCTAGTTTCAGGACGCTGACACTCATGGCTCCTGTGTGTTAACCTGCTTGTTACATGAAGGGACATAAAATGAATCCTGCAGTATACCAGATCCTTGGTGCTTAGCCTGTGATGGTACACCCACCTAGCTACTAATAACGGGCCTTAAACCTTGCAGGTTACTGTAAAACAGGATTCAACGCTCCATTCAGTTCCTGATTGTAGAAAACCACAGCCCTTTTCACTGAGAAAGGAACCTGCTTTTCAATACTATGCAACAGGTCAACAGGGTAACGAAATCAGGAGTCTGGCTTCAAAAGCAGATCAAGCCAAAACGTGCTAAATGCAGATGTACCTAAGATACCTTTTGGCACTAGCAGGCTGCTCTTGATCTAAGGAGACAAGCCTTTCCGTAGCATTTCTGAAGAACAGAAAATAACAGCTCTCAAGGATTAAGATGGTAGGTACTTTACTGCCACCAACATAAAACCACATTTTTAAAAGCTATGCGAGTGCTTAAATGCAGAGGCACTCAATTTTGGTACTTCTTAATCACTACCAACAGAAGGACTTCATGTAGATATTTTAAGCAATATGACTTGCATCTTTCTTTCACAAATTAAAGCTTATAGCTTTCATTTACATTGGAAGAGAGTAGTAAGAGAGGGCCAGATCTTAAGGAAAACTTCTAGAAACTTCTCGGGAAGGAGAGTTAATACATTTATTTCCTTTTTCACATTTGTACAGTCTACCTTGGATTAATAGTTCTATAGAGAATAAAAGCATCAGGTAGCCACATTTCACAGAATGCCATCAAGTTCAATATGGCAAAGATTTTTGAAAGATGATATTTCTAGATAATAAGATTGTGTGATCACTTTGCAAATCTTCTACTAACTGTGACAATACCTCTTAGTACCTAAAGCTGTATTAATAGTTATTTTATATAGATCAAACGAAATCTGCAGAAATACTATAGACTTAAAAACAAGATCCTGCCATTAAGAAATCAACGTAGTAGAAAACGAAGATCAGATTTAAGTTTCAAAAATTGTTGCATTAGGTAATACAAGAACTAGACAGCAACACAGAAGGATTAATACGCCCGGCATTAGCCTATTACAACCTTGTGTCCTATGAGAGCTTGATGTGAAATGCAAACTATAGGTCATATGAGCTATTCACATAACTTACCCTTTCACAGTATGTTAAACATTGCTACATTGCATTCCTATTCCATATGTGAATGCCTACATCAACCAACTTTATGCCAAAGGGCAACTTCACCACTAATTCAACCAAGTGAAAACACTCTTGCTTACTTATTACCAGTGAATACCTCTGCCTTAGAGGAGTAAGAAGCCATATTTTATTATGGTAACTGAAATAATTTTATAAACTTTGTTATGTTACAAAAAAAGATGTAGTTCGCTTGACTAAGGTTTTCTCTGACATGGAGTTTCCCCAATAATAGCATTAAAATTGACTTACCTTCATTTGGTGAAGTTTTCAATTTTGTACAGATACCATGTACATCTCCATAGCATTCCTGTATTTTATGCAGTGCATCTGCAGCTCGAAGTTCCATAAGAGAACGGAGCTCTGCAAGAGTAACTCCAAAATCTCCATGATTAGCTTCTTTGACAGCATTTTTTACACCACTATATGCGACCGAGTTGTTTGCCATATCACCCATGATGCCTGCAGTCTTTAGTGTAGACAGTTTCCAGTAAGGAACAAGATTTCAACTTAAAATACTTCCAAATGGAAAATAAATCCTTCGGGTATGAAGACAGTCAGGAGAGGAGACACATCACCCAAGTAAGAGACCACATCTGGAGAGATATCTCTGAGGTTGTCCCATGGCGCATTCTGTTCTCCAAGCCAAATGGCATGTACGGTCTAGAGAAAGAATAAATATACATTCAGTTACATAACAGCTATACTGAAATACATGTACGACAACCCTACTCCTTGCATTGAGGTTAGAGAACAGTTTCTGCTTAAGGACAAATTCTTCGTATTTCCTACAATATTTTTAGTTAGCATTCAGCTGGCAAGTGACGAGGCATAAAATGGCTGTTTCCCATCCCAAAATAACCTTGCATTATTATACTTCCTTCAGTCATTAACTTTTTAGAACAGGTGCTGCCTTTAAGACTTGCATTTTGCTTGGTATATACCAAGCATACAGTTCATCATCAAGAGGAACCTTAAAAACACCTGGAAGTCAATCTGTTTACATGGAAATGGAGTTTGGAGCACACACCGATGATATCACATGGGGTAAGAACATGCTGAAGTTAAAAATCCCAACTTTTCACCAAAGTTTTCACCTTGCAGTTTGGGATGAGCAAGTTTTTGTGCGTTCCCATGAATTAATTTGTGCAAACCTCAAGGAAAAGAGTTTCAACACTAAGTTAGCCCACGCATGAAGTACTTTTGTAGTGTAAGTAGGAGTATATCCTTCAGGCAGACTTAGGTCTTAATGCATTTTTGTGTCTAAACACTTTTAGCCCCCCCCTCTCCAGCCCATTTCATCACAACTCAAGCCTCCTACAGTATCTACATTTAATTCTTTGAACAGACGGGAAAATTGCACAATATCACCTTCCTACAGAAGGGATAGGGAGACAAAGAGCAGCTCTTCCATCTGATTATTGGAGCACTGTAGCTGATAAATTAACACCTACCCCAGAATTTTTAACCTGCACAGGCACTCTATATATTTAATTCCTGCTCAGCTGACACATCTTGTATGTACACATGTATCTGCACACAGTATGGTGAATGCACGAACAATTCATGCCTATATAAAGATCTGCTGTGTGCAGAAGACAGAACTGATCATGTAAGTCAGCTTTATCAACATAACGGGGCACGGTGAGCACAAATAACAATATATTCCTCCATGAGACATGATGGCTGTCAGGCTTGGATGGACAATAACTTGGACACTTCCAGGTCAGTGGGATCCTCAGGTGCCATATACCTAGCAAAGGCAAACAGTTACCACTGACTGCTCTGCTTTATGAAGGTAAAGAGCAAATAACAAAGAAAAGATTTCCAGCTATTGCCCTGCTAGGAACTGTTCGGCTGAAATACAGCATCCATGTTGAGGTCCAGGCATAAGCAGCCAAGAACCAAAAACTTAAGTTTTAGTTCCCTGCCCTGGAAACAATCCACTTCACCCATAGTCAATCCATCATTTTAAGCACTGTGCCACAACCGTGCATTTGCACTGAAGACAACCACTGATGCTGAAAGACCCTGAAGTGATGTCACCCAACCAGAAGTGAGTCTCATCTCCAGCAGAAGTACCACCACTCCTAAGGAGATTCTGAGAAAAGCACTGTCTATGGCTGTTTTCTGGAGAGCAACAAATAGCATAAAGCAATCAATATTCATACGCATAAAACCTCAACATCCTGTAACATCAAGGTACTTAGTTGAAAAATTCAGTTTAAATCTTGCTTTCTGTTTTTAAATCTTGTTTTTCCATTTCAAATAATTTAAAATCTGTTTTTAAATCTCGTTTTCTGTTACTTGCAGGAGAAAAACGTTACCGTAGTTGAAGAGTCCATGACAATGGTGTTAACTTGCACACTAGGGTGCAGTTTTGATAAGCACGCATTCTTCAGCTGATCATAACAAGTTCTTCTATAGTATCTTGGAAATGAAGACATTCATGCAAATCATGTAGGAAAGAGTGCTCTTTAAAGCCACACTGCATCTTTGTCTAATGCCCAAAAGCTGGATGCTGTCGACCAACTAGTAGCCTAGGAGGATTTATCAATTGGTGTCTGATCATAAGCCATGACAGTGTAACAAGAAGCAGATCAAGCAAATGAGTTTGTATAGCTATGGAGAAGATGCTGCAGCTACTGATTAGGCAAAAATAGGCCAAGCAGAATGCCCTACCACAAATTACATCAAACTTGATTCAATTTTAATTAAGAAAAGCTCTGTTCAAGCCTCTAGCAGAAGCCCTGCACTTGAGGCCCAAATACACCCAAATCCAAGCACAGACGTGAGGTTAGGAAAAGCCACAGCTCTAGTCACTGCTCACTTGGCACTGACAAGATTTGAGACGGAACACTGGGGCACAGCAGGACTTGTGTTCACGTGCAAGTTACGGTAAGATTAATAACACTGCTTAATCATAGCTTATACTGTGCACTCCAGTTCCATCATTTCTATGAATCTAGATTCATTTTTGTTAAGGTGTAACAGTCCAGTGATTAGCTGTTACTAACAGTTTATACTGAAAGGGGTTCTTAGATGTTCTGAAACACCCCAGTGGTGTCCAAACATACCAACAGAGCCCTGGGTTCACAGGCAAGTTCAATATGCTTGCATTAACACTAGAAAAGCAGTGTAGCTCTACTAGTGCTACAGACTATTTAGCACATCCATGTCAGGAAAAAGCTGTGGAAAACTGAGAGGAGCACTGCAAAGACTCTTCAAATTCTGAACACTGAGTAAGAGCAGTGTTGCTCCAAATGATCAAAACCTGGTTAAACATTAGCAACTATTGACACCAAACCAGACCGGAAGGAATCTGCTCAAATAGCCCATTTTTACCAGGCATTTCAATCGACTGTACAAAAGCCTCTACCAGCACACAGGTACAGAAGAGACTTAACATAGTTTCTTTGCCAATTCCTACACAAAAATCTCATTACAAGTTTCTTTAAGAAATATCCTTAAAGCAGTTTTGATGTCAAACCTTGCAACATTCAATCACTTCCTGTTACAGCAAGTTCCAACAGTCCACTTTTGTAACAAAGTGGCAATGCATAATGCAACTATACACAGTGAAATTCAAGTATCAAAAGAAAGCATATTTTTAAGCTACACAGATAAACTAATATTTATCTCTTCAACTAGTGGAGTATTTTATCTGTTTTGACTAGCATTTGACTTCTTAACTGCAGCCATTTGAGATACGTTATTTGAACAGCATGAGCTCTGAAGTTAGAAGCCACTTGCCTCAAACTTCCAATCTGCAAATATCTCACATTTTATATTCAAGAAAGTTATCAAACTAAAAGCCACTTATACACCATTGCTGAAGTTCCAGCTTATCAGAGTTTAATTCAGTTGAAGTTATGTCAGCATCCAGCTTAAAGAAGCTGCACAGAACATGATTAAGAGAAGTCAGTCTTCCATTAGGCACAAGAACTTTTGGATAATCCTTTATTTACATATCACCGAGACTAGGAGCGACTTTAAAGCTATTGTCTGTCACACTCAAGTGACTAAAAATCCTGTGCAGCAGAGGCATCTTACAGCAGCAGTAGCACATACTACCATAGGCAGGACTCAGATACTTGTGCAATTCTCTGAAAAGACCCTGCTGCTCCATGACTGACACGTCACGTCATGTCATGTCATAGTGGCTGCCTATGGGAAATATCGCATTTTAAACTCCTTAACCAAATGACATTAATTTTACTACTAAGTGAATGTGCTTTGTTACCAAAGACAATAATTCAAAACTGCAACCCATGATAAAAAGGTTAGAAAATTTTATTAATGTTACAAGTTCAACAACCTCACAAGCCTCTGTAGCCTGGAAAAAGGACATGCTCCATTTACAGTATTCTGCACATAGAGATGTTTACCAAAGCATGAAGAGACAGCCTACTGACTACAAATTTAGTGCCACCAGAACATACTGTGGTGACCAAGCTAGAAGAACCTGTAACATGTTTCTTGAAGTGTTCTTGTAGCAACACCTTAAATATAAACCCATGTTAATCCCATGCCCCGTCCCCAAAAGCAACTACTTTTGAGGCAGCCCTGAACATTAATATGCTTCAAAAATCACTCCAGAAATAGTCATCCACGGGTGGAAGTATTTAGCATTTAGGAACCCCTCTGTTTGGAAGAAAACTATCATCTGTGTTTGGCATTCATTAAAATTAAGTTTACCTTGAAGTGATAGTTTGCGGTGGGCGCATACTAACAATCAAATGTAAACAGCAGAGTTTAAAAGTGGAATAATTACTATTTCCCAGGTGCACAGGACCTAGCATACCCTAGAGCCCTACATAAGCCTCTCCTACTATTGAATTTGCATTTAATACTTGCTTCACCAACCTACAGGACATGCATTTAATATTAAAAATTAAATCTTAAAACACTTAAGCAAACTCATACCTCAAGGGTCAAAGCTCCAGCAATTATATATCCTGTGTCATTCAATTTAATTTCTGCATCTTGAACACTTTGCATTCAGATACTAAGTATTACCTGGTACTAGCGTTTGACCTTCAACAACACACTAAAGCTGGCTGCTGTAACATAGGAAAAGGCTTGCTAAGTGATTATCTCAGGAAAGCCTTTGTTTAATCTAATTAGTTCAATGAAGACCGGACAGATCTACATACCAAGAGGCTGCAGTGATAAAAACTGTCCCCATATGTTTCAGTTGCCAGGCCATTTTATTCTAATCTGTTTCAAAAATTAGCTCTTAAGATACTGAAAAATACAATATACCTTTGCACACTTTAGCTTGAAATCCACAGCACTGGGTATACTCCCCAGCTTCAAGCCCTATCATGGCTTTCCTGAGGGGTGGGGGGGGAGAAGCTGTCTGCAACATTATTGTAGTGGAAAGTAATTTTAACTGAGAAAGTGACCTTAAGATCACACTGAAAAGGTCTGAGGTCTTTTGCTCTGGAGAGTCAGTTGTCTTATTTTAAGAGACAGAACCTCATACCTACTTGAAAGGCTACAGAAACTCACTAGCTGTTTCACAAGAAGTATGAATTAATGCTAATAAAACAAGTTCACACAGAACAGCGTGCGTTTAAGGGGTCGCTATTCTGTACGTTAAAATTTGCCGCCCAACTGAACAAGGAGGAGTTAAATCACTTCAGTGGCGTGCTGCTGTT